TGAAGAGGCAGGCCCCTTTGAGGTTTGTAGTTGAGGACTTCATCTCAACATAGGCTGAGGAGGGGATGGGGGCCTATTTTCATGTTATTAATTAATAATGCAAAGAGTAGTTTATATCTTCACTTTCTGAAAGCACCTGAATTTAAGACCAGTATATCTGTAATAAGCATGAATGGCAGGAGCCATCAGGACTAGCCACTTCATACCTATCACCTTTGTGTGGGGATCTAAGATCTGGTTAACAAAGCAACAGCCTGCCTAATCCCCCTGTTGATGCTCTGCCCTTCCAAGGATGGTTCATGTCAGCATGACCTGTGAACCTCAAACAGAAGGTCTGTGTGCCTCAGCTGTGGTGAGGGGCAGGTTTCTCTTGTGCTCTCTCCAGAACCTGGGACAAATGCACTACCAGTAGAGAAGGCCCACCCGGCCCTGCCTCAGTGTGGACCCCTGGGACTCAGAGGTGCTGAGCCTCAATGTCAAAGTTTTAAGTGTTTTGTTCCCTTTTTCCCCTTTGTTGATGATTGATTTACAAAAGAAAGGAAGCTGCTTAGAGGGCTCTGGAAGTGGAGAGGAAGGAACAAGAAGACCAGTAGTTAGGGAGGGTAGGGATCTTTTGCCAAAAACCTGGGTAGAGTGGTCTGGATCGTCTGGCACATGGCAGAGGCAGAGAACAAAAGTTATAGATGATTCTCACTGAAAAGGAAAATTTGTCATTTAGCTTTGCAGAGAAAGTTCCATCCTATGCTTATAGTTCATACTTACCATGTGCTAGGATATTACATTTAAAAGGACAAAAAAAGTAAAATACTTGAATGAGCTTATACTATGACATTGAGGGTAACTGATTTCCAGACTGAAGTGATTCATTCATTATTATAGTCCCACTGTTAGTCCTTTGTAATTTGTGATAACTATGTTTGACTTTTTAATGCAAAAACATATAATAATTAAAATTTGAAAAGACAAAAATACACATAATGTTGAAATCCTAACCGCCCCCCCCCAAGTGAGGATTTTCAGCCTTTGGGAGGTGATTAGATTCTAAGCATGTTGCCTTCGTGAATACGATTAGTGTCTTTCTAAAAGTGACCTTAGAGTGCTCTCTCTTCTCCCTCCTAGGCAAGAAAACAGTGAAAAGATGGCTACCTACAAACCCAGGAATCATGGCCTCACCAAATTGTATCAGCTAGCATTTAGCTATTGGACTTCCCAACCTCCAAAACTGTGAAAAATAAATTTTGTTGTTTATGAGTCACCCAGTCTATGATATGTTGTCATAGCAACCTAAGCAGACAATATTGCTGGGCATGGTGGTGCATGCCTATCATCTCATCTGCTCAGGAGGCTGAGGCAGGAGGATTATAAATTCAAATCCAGCTGTATCAACTTAGCAAACAAGACCCTGTCTCAAAATTAAAAAGGGGTAGGGATATTGCTAAGCAGTTAAGCACCCCTGTTTTCAATCCCTGGTACCAAAAATATAAACAAACTAATACAATATAATGCAAAAATTCTTAAGAATATATTGCCCCATAGAATTAAACAACATATAAAAAGAATTATACAGCATGTTCTAGTAGGATTTATCCTATTGCAAGGTTGGTTCAGTATTCAAATTTAACTCAAAATTTGGAAAAATCAGGCTGGGGTTGTAACTCGGTGGTAGAGTGCTTACTTAGCATATGTGAGGCACTGGATTTGATTCTCACCACCTTATATAAATAGATAAAATAAATGTCCATGGACAACTACAAAAAATAATTTGAAAAAAAATTCAATCAGTTATCTAATCAATCATCTAAATGAGCTAACGAAGAAAAATCATATGATCATATCAATGAATGCAGAAAATTATTTGACAGAATTTGACATTCATCTGTGATAAAAACTCCCAGAAAACTAGAAATAGAAAGGAACTTCCTCAACTTGATATCAAGAATATCTACAAAAAACTTACAGCTGACTTTATACTTATTGATGAAAGACTGAACACTTTTCTTTTAAAATTAGGAACAAGGCTGTAATGCCTGCTCTTGAACATAGTTTTTGCCAGAGTAGAAGTCAAGAAAATGAAATGCAAGATTCAATAATGTTCTCCAAGATGATACACAAATATAATGCAATTCCTATTCAAATCCCAGCAAGATTATTTGTGGATATAGACAAGATTATTCTAATGTGGAAAAGCAGAGGAATTAGAATAACTAAAATGATTCTTTAAAGTAAGAATAAATTTGGAGCAGTTGATGAATCTAATTGCAAGACCTATTATGTAACTATAGTAACTAAGACAGTGTAGTATTAGCAGATATACTGACACATAGAAGAGTAAAATACAATAAGGAATCCAGAAATAGCCCCCATAGGAGTAGAGTCAGCTGGTTTTTGACAAAGCTGTTAAAGCACTTCAAAGGAAGAAAGATAAGTGTCTTTTTAATTGGTGGTGGATGTACTAGATATTCATAGGTAAACAGGTTCACATCTAAAAGTAAACATTATAAAAACCAATTGGAGGGGCTGGGGATGTGGCTCAAGCGGTAGCACGCTCGCCTGGTATGCGTGCAGCCTGGGCTCGATCCTCAGCACCACATACAAACAAAGATGTTGTGTCCGCCGAAAACTAAAAAATAAATATTAAAAAATTCTCTCTCTCTCTCTCTCTCTAAAAAATAAAATAAAATAAATAAAAACCAATTGGAAAACCAGCAAATGACATATACAGACATTTCACTGAAGAAGATAACAGAACCCCACTATTATGTATATAACTATAATACATTAATAAAACGTAAATGAAGTTATGTATCATTAAAGAAATGCAGATTAAAACCACAGTGAATTATTACTGTATACCTATCAAAATAGCTAAGATGAATAATAGTGATAATAACATGTCAGAGACGATTCAGAGAAACTGGATCACTCATAAATTGCTGGTGGGAATGTAAAATGACACTGCCGTTCTGGAATGTAATTTGTGGTTCCTTTCAAAATTAAAAATAGACACATCCCAACACTTATACTCATGAATATATACCCAAAACTTATTTTCCTGCAGAAACTTCACAATACAGCTTTATTCTTTTTTTCCCAGCACTAGGGCTCAAACCTAGGGCCTCATGCATGCAAGGCAAGTACTCTACCAAAATCTTCATTCTTTGTTTTATAAAAGCTCTTTAATTTGAAGGATATCACTTTTTATACCTTTATTTTATTTATTTATTTTTATGTGGTGCTGAGGATCAAATCCAGCACCTTGCACATGCCAAGCAAGCACTCTACCGCTGAGCCACAACCTCAGCCCCCCCAAATCTTCATTCTTAAGAGCCCCAAATTAGTAATAACCCAGTTATATATTCTTATGTCAAGGAATAATACTCAGTAAAAAAGAAACAAACTATTGATTCAACAACAGAAATGGATCTCAAGGGCATTATGCTGAGTGAAAATGCCAGTCTCAAAAAGTCACATACTGTATGATTCCATTTTTATAACATTTTCAAAATTACAAAATCATAGAGATGCAGAGTTAGGGATGGTGTTGGAAGGCTCTGACTACAAGCTATAACATAATGGAAATCTTTGTGGATATGGAATAGTTCTGTATCTTGATTGTAGTGGTGGTTATGTGTATCTACATTGCATACATATATTGGAGCTACATATAGAGCTAGGGCTGGGGCTCAGTGGTAGAACACTTGTCTAGCATGTGTGAGGCACTGGGTTCCATTCTCAGCACTACATATAAATAAATGAATAAAGTAAAGGTCCATCAACATCTTAAAATATTTTTTAAAAACTACATATACATTATTTCAATATCAATTTCTGAACATTGGTTTATATAATTTAAGATAAAAACAGGGGAATTTAAGTGAGGGGTACACAGGACCTTTATACTATTTTGCAACTCCTTGTAAATGTATAATTATTTCAAACTAAGAAGTTTCTTTTTGTTTGTTTAGAGAGCACTCTAGGGCAAGGTATGTAGCTCAGTAAAAGAGCACTTGCCTAGTATGAGTGGGGCCCTGTGTTCAATCCCCAGCACAAAAAAAGGAATTCTCTAGTGATTGTGGAGCATGGGGCTGAGAGGGACCAGTCAGGATAAAGGTAGGAACAAGCAGTGTAGAGAATCTTGTCAGGTGAAGGATGCCATATGAACCATTAGAATATTTTTTGTGATGGAGAAAAGGATAGAGATAGAAGGGATGATCCTGGAATAGAATCAACAGGGCCCTGGTTTAGAAAACATGTTTAGGAGGTGAGAAGAAAGAAGACTCAAGATGATTCCTAGGTTTCTGACTTGGGTGATTGAGTAGATGCTAGACATCTCAATTAAAAGAACCATAACTTCAGAGCCAGAAGTGTACTAGGAGTAGACAGAAGCCATGTTTTTCTGCTCTGTTATACCCTGGTGAATCTAAAAGATGTTGAGGGGTGGGTTTCTCACTATGGTACCCAGGTAGGCTTCAAAAACTCTTGGGCTCAATCAGTCCACCTCCCTCAGCTTCCCAAGTAGCTAGGATCACAGGCATACCCCTCCATGCCCAAGATGTTTGATTTTTTTGAGAATTTTGTGAAATCCATTTAAGTCTTTTGGAGTACCCTATTATGTATTGGGAAGCCAGATATTTACACAACTTTCCCTTCGACTTCATTCCTTGTCAGCCTGGTACATTTACTTAAGAAATGAGTTTCAAAGCAGTTAAGAGTTGTATGACATTGGGCTTTGATTTCTTCCTCTGCAAAATGAGCACTGTGTTTTGTAATAAAGTAATCATAATAGTTTGCTCTCTGGGTTTTGTGAGAATTAAATGAGATAACATATGAAAAGTACTCAACATTCATCAAGTACCTAATAAATGCTTGCTACCACAGCTAAAAATAAAAAATTAGAGTGATAAGAAAATGTTGAAATGTAATAGACCCTGTCAATCGTAGCCATCTGACAACAATGCTCAGATTTTCTAGAGACTATTTTTCCTTAATTTGTTTTCTAGTTCCTTCAGTGATCCTTAAAGAGTGGTCCGCCTATAAAGGGAAGTCACCTCAGACCCCTGAACTGGTGTCTGCACTAACATTTCGGGAATGGACTTGCCCAAACCTGAAGAAGCTCTGGCTAGGCAAAGCAGTTGAAGACAAGAACAGAAGGATGCGAGCTTTCCTGGCCTGTATGAAGTCTGACACACCCAGTATGCTCAATCCAGCTAATGTCCCCACCCATCTGCTGCTCATGTGCTGTGTACTCCGGTAAGCCATGTGACAGGGAAGTAGCTAGTTCCTTTCTCTTTTACTTTTTTTTTTTTTTTTGACAATGATTTTAAGTAAGTGTTTTTATGGTGTTTCATTGCGGGGAAATTTTTGATTCACGTTCACCTTAGACTTCAGAAACACTGAAAATTATTGTTAGAATACTCACCCCAGCTTATGATCCTCTGTCATCATCATATCATGAATAATCCCTCATTTTTGTCCCTTTCAGTCCTCATTCCTGATCCAGTTCCCTTCTCCTTTCTACGAAGAGTCCTTAATTCTTGAGTATTCAATTTGTGCACTTCCAAGCTATATTACATATGTTTGTATTTATATCCATATCCATGCACAGTATTTTTTTTTTTGGTGCTGGGGATCCAAACCAGGGTATTGTGCATGCCATTCAAGTTCTATATCCTTAGCTCCAATAGTATTTTTTGTATATGTACTTTTTTTTTCCTTTTTTTTTTTTCTCCTGGTGCTGGGGATTGAAACTAGGGATGCTTTATTACTGAGCTACTTTCACGGACCTTTTTATTTTATTTTTTTTTAATTTTGTGTCTTGCTAAGTTGCTAAGACTAGCCTCAAACTTGTGGTCCTCCCACCTCAGCCTCCCAAGTAGCTAGGAATAAAAGCACACACCACCATGCCCTGCTTTTTTTTTTTTTTTTTTAAGAGTCTGGATATTATTACGTTGCTCAAGATGGCCTTGAATTCCTGGGCTCAAAGTGATACTCCCACCTCAGCCTTTTGAGTAGCTGGGACTACAGATGTACACCATCTCACACAGCTAGAGTTTTATTTGTTTGTTTGTTTTGCTTTTTTGACATGAAAGGTATTGTGCTATATACCTCATTCTATTTCTTAGCTTTCATTTACTGTTCTTCTTTCCTTCCTTTCTTGACAAGGTCTCTGTGATGCTCACACTGGTCTCATACTAATGGACTCAAGTACTCCTCCCACCTCAGCCACCTTAGTAGCTGGAACTATAGACATGATCCACCCCACATTCAGAGTTATTTTTTAGGTGTATCCATATTCATATATGGTTCATTCCACTTAACTGCTGGTTATGTTCCATCAAATACTGATATCACAGTATTTTATTGATAGATGAATGGATAGTTGTTTCCAGTTCTTTGGAATTACAAACATTGCTTAATAGATGTCTCTTCTCTGTCTTTTTGTGTTCCTTTGTCAGTTTATCTGAAGTATATACTCAGGAGTAGCATTTCTGGATCCTGTAAAAATACATGTAGATTCAGAGCAATGTTGCCAATTGCACTAGATAAAACTGCTAATTTGTATTCCTATGAACAATACATAAGGTTTTCTAATTCCTCATTTTGCTACTATTGATTGTATAACTTAATTTTTACCACTCTGGTAGGTTCCTAATAACATTTTAATTTGCATTTCTTTTGATTACAGATGAGACTGATCTTTGTTTTTCTTTATTCTGGTGCTACAGATCAAAACCACTGTCTTATGCATGCAAAGGAGGCGTTCTACCACTGAGCTCTATCCCCAGCCCTAATCTTCTCTGTTTTTATGCTGATTAGCCATTTGAGTTTTCTCATTCTGAAGCACTTATTTACTTATCTTGCAACTTTCTATGAGATTATTTGTCTTTTCTCCTTGGTTACTGAAGTTCCTTGTCAGATACACAGCAGATATCTTTTCTGTATTTGTATTAGTTGCATGTGCTTATGTGTATATGTGTATGTATATATCAAATATCTTTTCCTATTCATCAGCTTGTTTAAATTTTATGCACAATAGCCCTTATTGAACAGAAGTATTTCATATTAGCCAAACTTTTATTGTTTCATCTTGTTTTGTTTTGTTTTGACTGGGGATTGAACCCAGGGATGCTTTACCACTGAGATACATCCCCAGTCCTTTTCATTTCATTTCACTTCATCCCATTTATTTATTTATTTCATTTAAATTTTTTGGTGCTGGAGATCAAATCCCGGGTGCTTAACTGCTGAATTGCTTAGGGCATCACTGAGTTGCTGAGGCTGGCTTTGAGATCTTCCTGCCTCAGCCTCCCGAGCCGCTGGAATCACAGGCATGTGCCACTGTGCCCGGCCTCCTTTTTATTTTTGGAGACACAGTCTTATTAAGTTGCTGTTGGTCTTGCTAAATTCGCTGACCTATAACTTGCAATTCTATTGACTCAACCTCCCTCCTAAATTGCTGGGTTTACAGGTGTGTACCACCACTCCCAGCTCTTAGACCTTTTATTTTTATAATTACATGTATACAGAAATGTTGGAAGAATAACCACCTTGTAGATTCTAATAATTAATATTTTACTGTGCTTTATCTGACAGAACTATCCATCTGTTAATTTCTAGTCACCTATTTAACCATTCTTCTTAACAAATTTCCAAGTAACCTTCAGATATCAATATATTTTCCTTCTCCTCATGAAGTATTTTGCTGAGCACAGTGGTGTACACCTGCAATCCTAGCAACTTGGGAGACTGAGGCAGGTGGATTGCAAGTTCAAGGGCAGCCTCAGCAACTTAGGCCCTGAGCAACTTAGCCAGACCCTTTTCAAAATAAAAAAATGTAAAGGGCTGGGGATATATCTCGGGGGTAAAGTGCCCCTGGGTTCAATCTACAGTACCAAAAAAAATATTTATTTTGGTTTTGCCAAACCCATTAATATGTACTTTTATACTGTATATTTTTGTCTTTATTTAATAAACTCCCCCTATTCTTAGGTCATAAAGATATGTTTCTAAATTTTCTTATAATTTTATAATTTCATGTCATGTTCTTAATATAGTGGGTATTTATTTTGTACATGTTCAGAAATTCTGTGCATGTTGAGAAAAAGGACGTTACTTCATTACCTCATTTTCTCTATATAATAAGCCAGTTCCCCAGTGATTATTAAATGACCCCTTCTTTCCTTACTGATTTGTATTACCACCTTCCTCTGCACCAGTTTCCTATATATACATGAGTCCACTCCTGGATTCTAATTTGCTCCATTGCCCATTTGATCCCTCATCAATATTATGTTGTTTTACTTATTAAGGGTTTGAAAGTTGCCTTAATAATCAGTTACGGCAAATCTTCACTCTGCACTTCTAGTTTCACAATTTTACTAGCTAGCTATTCTTATATCCTATAAATCATTATTCTATGTACAATTTAGCATCAATCCAGTTTCCACAAAATATTGTTGAGATTTTTTTACATTGAACTGAATTTGTAAATTAATTTGGAGTACACTGACATCTTTATACTGTTAAGTCTTTCCATCCATAAGTCAGAGTTTACCTTTCATGTATTCAAGTCTCTTATATCTTAGGATTAATTTTTTTCCATAGAAGTCTGGACTTTAATTCCTAAGTACCTGGTATGTATTGTTTTGATTATGAATGGTGTCCTGTTCACTATTATATTTTCTCATTGTTTGTTTTCCGGAATAGAGGTAGTAAGTTGTTTATATATATATATATATAAAGGGGAGGACCAGTCCTACAAGTAATAGAGCAGTGCACTTTGACACTGAGCAGAACTTAGTTTGAATTGTCCTTTTCTAGCACTTTTCAGCATGAATAAGTCACTTTAGCCTTTCAGAACATTTTTTTTCCACTGTAAATGGTGTGTTAATCAGCTTTCCATCACTATGACAAAATACATGGAAAGCAACTTATAAAGAGGAAAGATTTATTTTGGCTCACAGTTTCAGAGATTCTGTCTATGGTCTGTTGGCTCTGCTGTTTCTTGGCCTGTGATGAGGCACAACATTATAAGAGGGAGGGCATGGTGAAGCAGAGCTACTTACCTAATGGTAGACAGGAAGAGAAAGAGAGAAAGGGACTGGGGAACAAGACATATCCTTCAAAGATATGCCCCCCAGTGACCTACTCTCCCCAACTAATCCCCACCTCCTAGTGTTTCCACCACTTCCCTATAGTGGCATGGGCTGTCTACCAAGTCTTTACCACATGACCTTTGGGGGATATTTCATATCTAAACCATAACAAATAACAATAATGATTCTTATTTCTCAAGAGCTGTTTGGACATTGAGAAAAATGTTAGGAAGTAGAAGGAGTAAACCTTTATCCATTTTTCTTATTGTAAAAGACTCCCAAGGCACCAATTTAATTGTTAAAGTAGTTAGGGAATTATACAGGGAAATATATATTGAGCACCTCTTATGGGGTAGGGCCTCTGCATGCATTATCTCAATGCCCAAACAGTAGTGGAAACTCTAGGAGGTGGGACCTAGTTGTAAAGAGTGGATCACTGGGGGCTTAGAGGTAGGGGGCTAGGGTTGTAGCTCAGTGGTAGAGCATTTGCATAACATGTATGAGGCACTGGGTTCAATTCTCAGCACCACATAAAAATAAATAAATAAAATAAAGGTATTGTGTCCATCTACAGCTTTAAAAATGTTTTAAAAAAATTGTAACGTAGGTAAGACAGAAAGTAGGATCTATTGTTAGATTTGGCACCAATGACAACAGTGTTAAATGATAGCTTACTGCTAAGAGTAAGGATAAAGATACAAAGATTACTTTGTTTAAAAAAAAGTCCAAAAAGAATAGGCAGCATCTAGAGTCATGTAGTATAGGATGAAATTGCCCTGTATAAATCAGTAACCAAGTGTACTTCAAATCATCAAGAACAGGTACTATAATATTACCTGTTGTGTCTGCTACGTCAGCCCTTTTTTCTTTATTTCTCTTCTTGGTTTTGTGAGTTTTGTTTTGTTACTAGGGATTGAACCCAAGGTGCTTTACCACTGAGCTACATCCCCAACTCTTTTTATTTTTTATTTTAAGACAGGGTCTCACTGAGTGGCTGATGCTGGCCTTGAACTTGTCATTCTCCTATCTCAGCTTCCCAAATTGCTGGGATTTTAGGCGTGTGCCACCATGCTCAGCTAAGTCAGTCTTTTGTGTGTGATGTTTCTAATCTTTAAAATAGTGTTGAAAATTAGATGAGGCTACAGGCTCAAAGAG